TGCAGCATAACCGTACACTATTCATGGATTCTCAAACTATTAGTCTTTTCTCCTGAGGATGCTCTTAATTTCAGATTACATAACATAAGAGGAAGCGAATGATGATGAGCATTTTTGAGCAGATTTGAAAGCAACTTGAGAGCCATATTTTGCTGTTCATCGATAGTGTAAGTTACGGTTCTGCATATTTGTTAACCTCTGGAACCAGTTTATCCAACAAGAATGTCAACAACAACTTGATATACATTGTGCCTTTTATGTAAAAGAACTTTCCAAGTGATTAGCACAGATTTGGGAATTTAGATACTGTCAACAAGGTATTACATTTGATTGATTTTTGAAAACAAGGTTGAGGTAGCAAGGCAAAGAGGTTTTGAAGAAAACTTTTAGCGGCATAATAATAATCCTTGCATTTGATATAGCGTCTTATCATGTCTTCGAGCTGTCTCAAAGCGCTTCACAGGATATTCTGTAAAGTGAATCAACTGTATATTTTGTGGGCGAAATGTGCACAGTAGTGTCCCACAAACAGTCGTGGATTGAAGTGACCAATTTTTTTTTTTGAAGGAATTATTACCCCCGGAAAAGCGATTTGCCAATCGCCAAACAACAGGGTTCCTACTTACTGTTAGGTAAACAGAGGCCTGTGGAGATAAGGAAACTTGCCCAACATTTCGCGCTGCTGGGAATCAAACCCAGGTCTCTCACTTGCAAGGCGAGTGCTCTAACCACTGAGCTGCACGATTCAGCATGGTGGCAGAACGCTCAGCTTCCAATGGTTGAAGAGAGAAATGACATAGAATTACATGAATGAAAAATATTGCCTGCTGATATCTCACACTGACAAAAAAAAATTCTTACAAGTTTTAGAAACAATGGTGCACAGTGATTGGCCGCACTATAAAAGTAGGTCTCACCTACTTAAAGGTCTACGAGCCAGGCTGTTAGGCTAGAATTATCTTTCTTACAGCTTCTTTTTTTAACACCCGCCTAAACCCCTATGTGCCCAGGAGCAGCCTCCCAATCCTTGCAGCAGAGAAAGGGATGAAAATAGAGGAACAAACACAATATTGGGGGAGAGGGTTTGCGGGAAAATGCCAAATTTTCAAACAAAACACACAGTCACCACATTTTACAGTGTATCCTGCGAAGCGCTTTGAGGCGTCTTGACGACGTGATAAGGAGCTATATCAAGATGGAAGGAATATTATTATTAAAATAGTATTTGTTCCCAGTGTAACGTGAATAAGAAACCGAGAGCTCCGAATACAAAATGAGACAAGCTTTAAACAAGCACCATCCTTTCCTCCATTGGAAGATATCATTACAGGTAGATGCGGACTGAAGGCGAGGATCCATTTGACACACTCCTGCCCACATCCTGCTTGTTATAATAACTCACAGAGCAATGACATAGAATTACTGACACTTTCTCCACTAGGTGGCATCATTTACATTGTACCAAACTGACCAACACAGCAAAGCAATCAACGTCAAAGGATGTAGCAGGAGCTCAAAATGTCTATGTTTTCATGCATTGTGCAAAAAAAAAGCTGCACACTGCAGCAAGACTTTATTAGCATAAATCCTGATGCTATATATATAGTGTATGTGGGACATGTGCTTGCTTTGTTGACTCAATCAATGTGCTTCTGAACAATGACTGTTGGATGGCTGAATCTAATATAAGCACCGAACAATTAAAATAGCATCCCAGCTTGTGACTGTGAAATACATGTGATTGTAATCCAAAGCATCATACACCGGAGATTGAAATATTTTGACAGAAATCTGAAATGGGGCTTTGCAAAGAGTTTTTTTTGTCTCTGTAGCAGACTATTTATGTCCTTTTACTTTTGGTTACTCTCAAAGGATAAGATGAATTTGAAAGCTTGTAATATAAGCAATTGTATATGAAAAATATTATTTTATTTAACTTTGGGGGAAAAGAAAGCTCCCAGTTTGCAATAAGGAACACAAGGAACACCAGCACTGAATAGTAATCTTACAATCCTCAGATTTGATACAGCAGCTTTCATGTCAGGGGGACATCTCAAAGTGATTTGCAGGATATACCGTAAAGTGTAATGACTGTGTATGATTTCAAAGCTGACTATGTATATCGAGAAAAGACCAAGTGAATCCTGAATCTCTCAGCATCCCCCAATATCCCTCCTACATTCTCACTCTTAACTTACTGGGAGCCTCTTCTCTGCTTGAGGATTTCTTTCAATCTTTCTGATTTTCTCCCAACCCCACTCCTGTGCTCATCCCTCCATCTAACTAACTCAGAAATGCTGACACTTTCTCCACATTTTTGTGCCACCGTCAGTGGCTGAGTCTTAATTTAGCTCTGCTCAGTGCCTCTGCTCACTGTCTCTGTTTTCTGACCTTGCTTACCACTGATTGTCTCTGCTCACTACTCACTGTCTCTGAACACTGACAGTGCTCACTGCCACTGCCATTACTCGCTACCTCTGCTCACAGCTTAATCCATCTACCCACTGCTCTGCATATTGCCAGTGCTTCCTAGCTCTGCTTAATGCCTCCACTCACACGGAAGACAGCCGATACCTGTGGAATTGCATACCATTGTAAGCCAATGCCTTCAGGGGAGAAAGGGAGAAATTGGGGAGGGGAGAATTCAAGCAAAAGCAATATTTAATTGTAAAAGAAATTCAAGCCCCTGGTCTGAATACAACCATTTATCTACAAAATACTAATATCTATTCAGTTAGCTCTAGTACCTGCACCTTTATTAATGCCACTGGGTAAAATGTTTCATTAACATATTAAAGAAACCTCATATGGAATGCTTTAAAGAAACACAGAGCAAACTTGCAGGAATAATTTGATCTGGAAGAAAGCACACAATTTATAATAAAACTCTGATGGAACATGACAGATCTAGAGCAAGTTATTAACAGATTATTGTGTACATCATCTTGGCAAATGCCAGCAAGCCGCCCTCCTTCTCCACCTCCTCTTACTCCTCCGCCTCTCCTAACCACAACCAGCCTAGAAAATAATGTTCAGCTAACCCTTTCCCTGCACCAAACTTGCACAGCTTAAATTCACATCCTCCCAAAATCACAGCACCCACATTCCTGTCTGTGAATCCTATGTGTCGTGAAGTAAAAATCAAAGAAATGCAATTTATTCTAACTCTCTTTTAACTTTGAGTATTTTTGTCCACCAGTTTCCTCCCATCCTGTGTCCTTCTGAAGGCGTTAACACCTTGTTGGGGATATGGTTCTATGTATCAACCATTATCTAGTCCAAGTGTGTGAGCCTAGAGCTCAATCCTAACCCCACTCAGATTCCACACGCAAACACTCACGCACACACACCCATGCATTCTTCTCAGCAGGGCTTGCTGGATAGCGATTATTTGCAGGAAACTAGCCTCCCAAACCCCAAGGCATTTGAGGCCTAATTTTAGCATCTCAGCTGCTGCCCAGCTAAGATCTGTTAATTCAGCACAGACCTGAAATCCTCAAGCTTCTGCTGGTCTGCAAGGCTTAGTACTGGAACAGGTGGTGATGTTAACCACTAGATTATCAGCGGTGCCCTCAGCACTACCGTTGAAAGATTATTTAAATTTAGTGGAAAAATAATTGACAGCACATTTTGCTCCAAATGGTAAGTCCCCGTCTCAGCCAAGTCATCAGAGGAGCTAATGAGTGGGAGTGAGGCACTTCTACACAAGGAGAGAGGCACACTCAGAGATGAGACACTCAGACTCTTCAAATTGGTGCTCCAAGGTCATCTGCTTGCAGGCGAACATTGGTTTACCTACAACCCTTACCTACACTTGTTGTTCATGTTCACAGACTTGCTACGTGATTGTATGGAATTTACAGGGCACATGTCCAGAGCTTGAAGGCTAACCATTTTGCACAAAGAATATATCAAAGAATCATTGATAGTTGAGAGGAACATTTGAACTGTCTACATTTATTCCTAACACACACATTTCTATCCAGTCATAGTACTCATGTATGTGGGTGGATTGGGATAAGGATAAAAGATAACCATTTTCTAGTCTTTTTTTTTGCTTGAAATAGAAGCAAATGTCTCAGGTTATGAAGTGGGAAAATATTGAGTCAGAAATGTGCACAGTAAGTGGAAGAGGGCAGGGTTTTTTTAGATATTAACTTGTGTGCTATAAAGGTGGATGCTTCCAGTGTATAACAGTAAAGTGTATAACTACTGCAGAGTTTTGTTTTCTTTTCTCAGCTTGATACTCTTTCCAAACCCATTGCTCACTGCCATAACATTGAACCATCTGTGTGTCCTCGAGCTATTCCCGCCCCGATGTCTGGCCAAAAACAACATGTTCACAATTATTTTATTTGGTCACTTGCCATATTTTTTCCAAGAGTTAGCTAAATAAATATCATTGTATAGAGTAGCAGTAATATCTAGATACTTTATGATATGAAAGTTGGAGCTAGCATTAGAGCAGACAGATGTTATCCTGGCTTTACAAGCAGCAGGTTAGAAAGGTTGTACTTACAATGGGACAGCATGGACGTACTGAAGATGGGTAGCATGAAAGTCCTTACAATGGGATAATAATAATATTCCTTGCATATGATATAGCGCCTTTCATGTCGGGAAGACATCCCAAAGACTTTCACAAGATTTACTGTGAAGTGGAACGATTGTTTATTTGGGGCAAAACATGGTAACCAATTTGTGCAAAGCAATGTCCCACAAACAGCCATGAAATGAATGATCAGACCTAGTGTTTGAAAATTGAGCAGAAATTGTGGGACTATTTTCACAATGCTCTTGATAATTTAGCCAGGGTACTGATGCAGTACAAATTAGGAGTTTGTTCCTTATTGTTTTACTTTTTTTAAAAAAATCGGTTCAAAACTCTGGAAAAATAAAATTATTTAAAGAATAATCTTTGTACTACTATCTTTAGAAGAGGATGGAAATGAGCCTCACATCATCTTCATCCTGGTCGAAGGTTACAATGATTCTCAAACCCAACCCCAACTTTGGACAGACTGACTACCCAAAGAGTTAAACGGAAGAAATATTGCATTCAGCCTACTTGCACTTTGTCAAGAAGTCATTTGATGACTGACTGGTAAGTGTTATGGTTTAGATAATAAAGCAATAATAATAATAAATATCTAAAAAGTTTGTTGAAAATGTATTACTATGTATCCTATTATTATCACTATGTATCCTGAATTGTGCCTTTCAATGTCTGATTCACTATTTGGTAAAATATATCTGCTGAGCATTGTAACGCCAAACTGAAACTTCCATTGAATGTTTTTCCATTGTTTAGAAACGTTCTATTCAAAGTTTTCAAAACTCACACAGTATATACAGCAGCCGCCAAGGGAGAATCAGCACAGGTTAAACCGCATGGAATTGTTAAAGTGTTGGGTAGAGACCTCATTAATTCTAACAAACTACTGGAAGGAGAATGTTTTAAGATAATGAATAATGAATAGTTGGGAGACTGGAGCACAGTGATGGCATTGTAAACAACTAGAGAGAAACACTAGTGAAATTGTTATCTAAACGCTTAGTTTTATGCTCTGTTTATACAGTACATCACTTTAAACTGGGCAAAAATGACACTGTAGTCTATGAAGCAGATTTGTGTAAGAACTAGAATATGTTTTTGGAGTGTTCCGGACTTTGTTAATCACTGACTGGTGCCTTCTTGTAATCTATTTTATTACCTACAGAACCTCTCGATTCCACTTCCCGCTGTCAGTGCATTCCACGATGACAAAAGGGGATTAACAATCGTGAAGTCTCTGCTTCAGGGTTAATCTTCAATTGGTTAGATGCTGGTAAATTATGGGACCAATATAATGTATGTTATAATAGCTTACCACCAACCACATTTGGCCTTTTTAATGTAACCATTCCCCCCCAGTGCAGACCACAGGGTAAGGACCACACTTCAGAAAGTGCAAAACAATGTTAACTATCTATAACTATCTATAATGATTGTTACAATCAGAAGACGCTTACACACATAGCTTTAGAGTTGCTGTGGTTAACATGGCAAACCTGTTGGTCCAGTGTTTGATGAATAAGATCATGAAATCTGATCTCATTTTACACTAGAAAAGAAACAAATGGTCTTTCTGGGCCGTGTAGGTAAGACAAAACTAGAGTTTCACTTACTCCTCCTCTATTTATTTAAAGACACCCCTCCCTCCCAATATATGACTTTATAATACTAAACAAATCACATAGGTTATTTCCTCTTCAGTGCTCAAGTTGAATAACAGTGTAACCATTCATACAGAGACACTGTACTGTCTAATCACTGATTTGTATGAGAGCTCCTAATTAAAAAAAAGTCTCCTCTGTGAATACGAATAATGTTGGAGGCTTTAAAACATCACCTTTTAATAAAGCTGTTAATGCAAGTAGATTAATTGTTTCACCAGTTAGAAGTACTTACAACACTCTTCCCAATAAGTGAGAAATTATAGATACTGGGGTATTTCATTCAACTTTGTGATTCAAAACACATAATTGTTCTGAATCTGTAGAATTAAGAAATGTTAAAAATATAGTCAAGTTTTATTTATAATTCAACTAGTCAGGGAATCAGTGCTTACATTTTTCATTCAACGCATGGTATCCTCCTCAGTCAGTATAAAGCCATATGGTTGAGACTGTCTTTGCTGCACACAGTATAATCTACAGGATAAGTGGATTACTCTATCACAACAGCCTGTTCTGTAAAAATGCATTAGAAATGGAGTGTCTGGAAAGCTAAATAGAAGTGTGAGAATGAGTGATGGACAGACCTGAAGAAAAAGAGAGGCAGGCGAGAGAGCCATACGATGAGAAAGACACACCAATAAATCATTGAGAATAAACCACTATCGTAGAGTATTATTTATGTTTAATAAGTAGATGTTATAAAACATGAATATATTTGATTCAGTCTCTTCCTCCTCTCTCCTACCCCCCTCCAGAAGAGGACATGCAGCTGAATGCCATTGTGTATTGAGCTCCACATAGCTTCCACCCCCAGCAACATAGATGCAATTGAGAGCTCAACAAAGTAGATGGATCACTGGACTACTCAGCAATGATACTTTACATTTGATGATTCCAGCATTTTAAGGTGTTAGTCAGTGAACTATCTTACAAAAAAATCTCCACCACTGGATTATTGCCAGTAAAATATTAAATGTAGGGTTCTGTCCATGATTCAATATACCTTCTCGGATCTTAAAACAGATAATAGCCTATTTTCTTGTGGCACTGCTCTGGATTCACCATCAAGATTTATGATGGTCCCTGAACCTATCTATTCAATTACTACTTTGTAATTTAATTAAAAGCATTACTTATTCCCTGAATAGGTTTTTATATATAGTACTAGTATAACTTCTTGGAATTAATGAGAAATTGTTTTGCAAAAGACTGACAAGAACGACATCCTAATGGAATCCATTGTCAATGTTATTCTGTAGGGTTCTCAGAAACAGTAAGAACTACAGAATTAGTAGAAAGTTATCAAAATACATCCATTCATATATTCTGTATAAATTACATACTAGTGAGTTCTGCAACTCCAGCCTAATCCTGATGTTCAAACAATCCCTATGAGCAATTCAGCGTCACATTTATTTGATATCCTGAACTCATAGGCTGTGGGTCAATTTCCATGTGTCTGCTATTTTAAACATGTGCACTTATTATTGGCTAGGCACCTAAATCTTGCAGGTGTAATGTATTATGCTTGGAGAAATTTATATTTGTATGGTAAACACATTCATTCAAGGAAATTCTTATCCCCAAATAAAATTATTCATTCACTTCATGGCAATTTGTGAGACATTGCTATGCACAAATTAGCTGCCGCATTTTTGCCTATAAAATACATGGTCACCACACTTTGCAGTAAATCCTGTGAAGCGCTTTGAGACATCCTCCCAATGTGAATGACGTTGTACCAAATGTAAAGGTTATTATTACTATTATTCTAGACAAGTACTCAGATCCACTGATGGCCCAGTAAATAAAAATACCCCTCTATGCATCAAAGGTCATTTCCAAACCTTGCTTTGCACCGAGTTAGTTGATCTTAGATAAGTAGACAATTAACCAGCAATAAGTGAGACTGTAAAATGAACTCCGAGTTAAGAAGGGAAAAAACAATCAAGATTCACGCTCTTATTTGCTCTCCAGAGATGACTGCTGGAAGGTCCTCATGTGCATACATTGAGTAAGGGCAGAATTTTGTACAACTCTCATACCTCCATCATCAAATGGCTTGCTAATAAGTCATGCAAGTATTGGCCATTTGCGGGGGGGGCCAGCACACATTGAAGTTCACCCCAGTGAGAGGAAAATGCCTTGGAGGAAAGGGGAGAAATTTAGAGGGGAAAAATGGGGAGGTGGTAATGGGAAAAGTACAAATATCTTCAGCACCCCTGGACAAGGAGTGGGGGTGGAGGCGAGGGGAACCAGATCGGTTTCCTGCTCTTGACCACAATTGCATCACTCCTACTGGAAAGTAAGAGGTCATTCATTACAAGTGAGAACTGATTTGAGCTCAGCTGCGATGTCACACTCACTGTGCATAAAAAAGACTTTAAGACTAGTCAAGTGGATCAGGCCTGGGGCCTGGGGCCAGCAGATCTCAGGAGAGGAAAAGAAAAAATTGGAGAGGATTAAATAAAGAGAAGGGTTGCACAGGTACGTTCATGTCATATACTGGTCTGAGCCTATGTATGTTCTGTCTGCAGCTATCAGGTTCATACAAGAGTTCAAAACTCCATTATTGGCTCACGTCAGTTCATTAGGCTGTCTGTGCCACTCTTCCACAGAAACTGCTGTAAGCTGCTTACAGCACTCACATGTGGCACCTGGGCTTCCACCAAAAAGAATGTCTTCGTATCTTCTAAGGAAATCAATTCTTTCTTCGGCTCCCTGACTGGGATCACTATACATATCACAACTGTAATGGATTGGAGGTTTGCAGTTTTGATCTTCACGATTGAAAGAAGGTGGCCTGGGAGTGACAGTCGAAACTACTCCACTTCCATCTACACCCAAAGAATCAGGCAGATAATAGCGAACCATGATCCCAAAGAATCTATATTTATCTATCTGGCTTTTCAAGCTGTTCACACCCCACTTCAGATGCCTAAAGAATGTATCAGTAAATACAACTCACTAAGCAACCTCGCTAGGAGGAAATATGCAGCCATGGTAACCTGCTTGGATGATGCTGTAAAGGATATAATTGCAGCTCTGCGGACACGTGGTTGTTACAACACTGTGTTGATCTACTCCTCCGATAATGTGGGTAGCCCTTTAACAACAGCAGTAACTGACCCTTCAGGAGAAGAAAGGGCGCATATTGGGAATGTGGAATTAGAGGTTTGAGCTTTGTCCACATTCAAACACAAAGGAAAATCAGCCAAGCTCTGATACACAACTGATTGGTGCCTTACCCTGGTATCACTGGCTAAGGGCTCTCTGGAGCCAACTTGATGGCTACAACATGTGGGATGCCATTGGTCAAGGCAAGGCAAGCTCTCGTCCATAAAATAAATAATTTTTATTATTAATCTATTATCAAAAAACTTCCCCCGGGGCTTGAAAAGGGAAGGATTTGTCTCCGGGACACTGGAATCCAGACTCCGATTAGAGTAAGAAGCTGGAAACTTTTAACAGGAGACCCAGGGACAGTGACTGTGACAGAATTTACCAAACATTTCTGGAAACCCAGGAAAGTGGTGGAATTCATATAAAAAAAAAGCCTTATGGCTTTTCAATGTGTCTTCAGATCTTTTAGAACAATATAATCTTTCCAGCCGATTCCTCAAAATAGTGAGAGAATTGTAAAAGAAACTCTCTCAGTGTAATAAAACTGCAATCCCAGTGTATTATCCACCAGATGATCCAAGGGCCAATCCAGAACTCAATGGAGGCGTGTGGACAATGAAAAGTCTTCTCCTCAAGAGAAGGAAAAATTGAAACACTGTCATTTGTGTGGTTTCAAAACCTTACTCCAAAAATGCAATTCAAGAATGATGTTCCATTGTAATATATCTGTGTCGATTTCATGGGATTTTGTGCCCTTAACTAGCTAAAATTCATTGGTGAATATTAAACCTGCAGGTATAACTATAGTCTCAACTTAGTTAAAATGTAATGTAACAAAACCATTAAGTAATTATTTTGCACGTTAATTTCTGCTTAATTCTGTTCTACTAACTGTAGAATAATCAAGGCAAATCGAATTTGAGTATAACTTTGGTTTACGTTAATTTTCACCTTTTCAGACTGTGATCTGTTAGTGATTCATCTGCACATTAATCTAGCAAAGTGCAAATTAGGTATTGTAAGGCTTAGACTGAATGCAGCTGTAGCTGGATCTGATATTGGAATAAAACAAACATTTTCTCAATTTTTTTATACATATGTATGGAAAATTGGTTGTAAACTTCACAGTTCCTTAGGCATTTGTCTCTTTGGGCCTCTAAAGAAGATTTGGCAGTGAAGTATTAATGATTAATGGAAACAGAGCCACCCCGACCCCAGATAATGTTGAGGCATTATCTGATAAATTTAATGTTGCAGTTGAACACAAACATTAAAAATGAAGTATTCCTATCAATTTATTGTATCCAAATCGAACCTTGTCCTCCACAAGGAAAAATGAAGATAAACATTATAGCATAAAGAACCTTTTAAAAGCCTTTTCCTTGATCTCAGACCTCAAAGGGAGATACATGGTAAGTGGATTTAATACCAAAACTATCCAGACTATCCCTTGCAGTGTAAGCAGGACAATGATCTATAAGGCACTGCCCAAATGTCAAGCGTTCATCAGGATTAGTATAAAAGGTCTGATCTTATTGTGCTGAAAACGTCAATACACCGCAGACCTTAATTAGAATGAAACTTTTACAAAGTGAATCTGTTTAACCATAGCTCTTTGTAAAATTGACTGTTTTTAAAGAGAAACATGGTACAAGAAATGAAGTCATTCCCCTTGGTATATTACTCACCTGATTCTCGGTTTCTATCCTTGTTTTGCAGTTTTATATTTCTCTTTCGGGCTTGGCTCTGAGGCTCCTCCATGATTGAATAGGCATTCCAGACTCACTGTTAGGACTCACACACCAGTAATAACCACTTGGGCAAGGTAACACATAATAACCTCTTTGAAGAGAAAAATTTGGGGGAAAAAATTATACAATAACCAATAACATCATTGCTCTTGGTGGTGAGCTATGCTGCATATAATTTACATTTTGTTTTATACCCTTTTAAGCTTTCCCATGTACCGTGCACAAGCCTTTGCTGGAGACAAACAATTGGCATGATCTTAATCCTCAACAGACATCACACTAGCCATCTGGCTACTAGGATGTAGATAGGATCTAGATGTTTTGACTAATCCCTTCGATTTTCCAACTTCCCTGGAGTAGCTGCAGAGTAGAACAGGTTAAAATGAGCAGGTTCCCCCCACTCCACCCCCACCACCAAAGCTGCTGAGACACTGAAAATTAGAGATACTTAGGTGATTGCCATGTCGAGATGTGTTCCCAGCACTGACAAAGAATCAAGTCAATGCTGTAGCTAGGCAAACAAATAAAAAACAAACGTCGGTGAGTCAGTAAGTAACAGCAAAATCTATACAGCTCATAGCTGTCTCAGGAGAGTTCATGAAACAGCATAAAGTTAAGTCAGGTAAAGCCGTGGGCCCATAGTCTACCTTTTCACTCACCCATCCAGTTCGCACAGTCATTTCTAATTGAAAGGTTTGTGTTTGCCAGCCATCTCAGCGTTATCCTCTTCATATTTCTGACACTCGTGTGAGTGTGTGTCTGAGAATGTTTAACAGGTATAGACCAGAATGCCTGCCTACTTCCCACATACCTTCATAATAATCCTTGTATTTGATATAGCACTTTATCATGTTATCAAAAGTGTTTCACAGGATTTTACTGCAAAATGTAATGACTGTGTATTTGTTGGTAAACACGGCAGCCAATTTGCACACAGCAATGTCCCACAAGCAATGAAAAACCGTTATGCGGAATTGGCTGCTATGTTTCGCCCACAAAATATACAGTCAATTCACTTTACACTATATTCTATGAAGCACTTTCAGACATCTCGAAGACCTGATAAGGTGCTATATCAAAATATAGCCCCCACAAAATATACAATGAATTCACCTTACAGTATATTCTGTGAAACGCTTTGAGATGTCTCAAAGATGTGATAAGGCTCTATATCACATGCAAGGATTATTATTATTTATTATTATTATCAAATGCAAGGATATTTTTAAAATTTTTATTCTGTTTGCCGCTGTATGGTCTGTGAAATACTGGACAAATGTGAGGTTCTTGAATTAGGTACGTGCAAAGTTTCTCCAAGAGACTTAAAACTACCCATGTTTGAATATTGAAGTTTGGATCCATGTATTTCCGTAACCAATGTGCTTTCTTGAGTTAGTGGATACCTAAGTGCCATGCTACAATTCACTTCACATGCTAATTTGCAGGTACATACAATGGGACTTACAAATATTCATATTGTAGGGAGTTGCAGATACACACAGTGGGACGTGCAAACACATATAGTGAGACTTCTAGATACATACACTGAGACTTCTATATACATATAGTGGGGAGTTATATACATACAGTGGGGCTTACAGATACACACAGTGAGGTAGATTCATATAGTGGGGCTCAAAAATACATAGAGTGGGGCTTACAGTGGTTTCTTGCATTTCATATAGTGCCTTGTCATATTGTTGAGTCGTCTCAAAGTGCTTTACAGAATATACTGTACTGTGAAATGAATTGATTGTATATTTTGTGGGTGAAACTTAAAAGTGAAAATTACAGTGGGACTTACAGATACATACAGCGCAGAATTACATAGTTCTATACTGTGGGCTGGATCTACTCACTGACAGAATTTCCATTAATACTATGCACCTTGATTTGTTTACCAATTCAGCACCTTAACAACATTCCTTCTGAAGATCCATCCGCAATATAACCACAACATTACCATTCTCAATTAAATAATGGACAGTTCGTTTGGATTGTTGCAGTGGTGTTTTTGACTTGCATAAAATAAAACAGCCAATTCATGTTTGGGCTGGGGGCAGCAATAGAAAAATATGAAAAATTAGGATCTTATAAACCCACCTATTGATTAAATAGAAGCAAAATGAAAACCTGTTTTATTTGTAGTACATCTCCAATATATATCAGAAACAGTAAAGCAAGTTGCATATAATATATTGGGATACTGTGCATTTTCAATTGTATTCGCCTGTTTATTTATTGCAGTGGATCTGTGTTTGAATGCTTTGGTGAAAAGAATGGTCAGTATTCCCTGATTGTGAGGGTTTGTAATGAGGCCCTCAGTGGGAGAGCTGAAAACCCAATCCTGGAAATTGGGTTATTTGGGGGACCTGAATAACAGACAGGAACTATCCTCTATATCAGCTGAATTATGCAGTGGGCTGGATCCTTCCTTTGTACATGTTTCTGTATTTCATTTCCTGTCACTGATCCCAAATGTTGGTCAAATTTGCTCTCTCATTTTCACTCTGTGCTGTGGACTTACCCTCACCTTGTAGAAATCATCCTCTCCAATGTGTTCTGTATTTTCTTGTTTGGATTCAGAGTAAATCTTGGCCAAAATGCCATGAAACTGAGCCTGGTTAGTTAGCAGCTTCTCTAGTTTGAAATGATTTGTTTTTCAGCACAACCTCATCCATCATATTACTAAAATAGACCAAAACCCAGGTTGTGTAAAAGTATAATTTATTAATTGCATAACAGAACATTTAAGATAATTCATATTCACTACCTTTGATTAAAAAATACTTGAATCTCACATTCCTAACATTTTCTATGTTATATAAAAATAACAATCACTAATTGTATTTCTATAGTGCCTTTCACTTCAAGAGAACATCCTAAAGTGCTGGACAGTTGAGGGTTTGCAATACATTCAGTGACAATAGATTTGCCATGTTGGTACCCAAAATATCCAAGCGCTGAATATTTTTTACTCTTTAGAAATAAAACGAATATTCTCATAAATCTGCCTTTTGTCTTGTTCGCTTTGAAGTTGTTGTTGTCTTTAACACTTTGCTCTCCTCTCTCTAGTATTATTTCTGTTCCTTTCATCTCCATTTATTATTTATGCTTCGCCATCTCTTTAACCTCTGCGACATTCTCATTGACTTATTTTTACTTACTTCTTCAGGTTCCCATAAGGTGCCCTGAGAGTGAAAGAAAGCTTGTCTCTTCATTCTGTAGATAATGTATTGTACACTCTTGTCACCCAAGCCTCACGCCATAAAAATGCAAATGCTATTTTTCATCTTGGATTCTTCTCCTGAGAAAGTGGTCAGGAAACCTGCTCATGGGGGTTGTCACTGTTACACTCTAACTGGACACTAGGTGTCAGCCTGGCTCAGTTGGTAGCACTCTTGCCTCTGGGTCAGAAGGCTGTAGGTTCAAGCCCCATGTTGGGACTTTGAGTTTATAGTCTGACACTCCAATGCAATGCTGCATTGCTGGCAATTAACCGAAATTTCCTACGAAACTTTTTGATAGGTGCTAACTAATCGTTATAGGTGCTATATGAAATGCAAGGGTTATTAGTACGATGTGCATTTTTCCCTCTTTGTGACGAAGGGCCTTGCTTTCAGTTTACATTTCCCTGGCAGGTCAGATGAGAATTAGAAACCTCCCATGTAGTCAATCCAGACCCAGACCTATGCACGACAGTAATGTACCACAATGCACTGGAACATGTTGCATCACTGTATCCTGGCGATAATTTCAATCTTAGTCCTTGGTTTGCAGGAATTTGTTTCAGTCCCTCTCTTTCTGAGTATTACTTCCTCATTTCTCCCTTTCTTCTGTCTGTATGAATTCTTTCTGCATTTAACTATTCTTCCCTGGGCTCTTTCTCCCTCTTACTGT